AGTATTTGGAAATGAGTTAGCTAGCCTAGTTTCATGATAGGCGCCATCACGACCGGGTCAATTTTTGAGTCGTGACAGTTCTATTCCGTTGTAATTGACTCCAAACCAATAAGAATTCTTCCTCCCTACTTTTCTCTGCAATACTCTTCTTCTTCTTTTATTATTTCATAATACGTTATCAATACGAGACTCTAACCAATTGAGTAGAAGCTTTGAGATTGAGCATAATGATTGTCAATTATTCCATGAACATCCTTCAGGAATAAATTCTGGATTTAAGGTAAGTATTTTACCTTATTTTTCTATTTTAAATTCTTGAAATCCTATAATTTGATTTTAAATACAATCAAAGACAATAAACTTTGATTACAACTCTAATAGAGTTTGTGAGAAATTATAAACACCCGAAGTGGTAAAATTTTTATGTCTTTCCATGATCAAATTCATGTATGATTGTGGGCAAAGAAGTAGAAACTCGTCTCATTGGATTTGCTTCATTCTCATTCCCTTAAGAGAATGTGATAACAATATGTGATAAATCTGAAAGAAGACAAAATTATTAGGTAGATGTGGACGTGACAATAGATGAAATTATAATTATCATCATTGTGAAAATGAGAATAATTAGGATTCTCAAAATAATCTTTCACTATGTGAAAGTAATATTTGTCATCGATTTGATATGAGATTTTGTGAAGCACGTATAGATGATTATGATCCATTCATGGTATGAATGTGACAACGTGTGATTTATGAATACATATTCATTCTTGAAAGAATATGAATGTGCTAGTTGTAGTGAATATACCACACTCACCTCTAAAAGGAGGTTTGAGATGAAATAAGAAAATAATTTCATTATTATGACATGAATGGTCATTGATCAAGTACCTATTGTGATTATGCCAAAATATAATGGCAATGTGATTATTACAGGGCAAAAGTAATAGAAGCAACATATCTTGCCTATAATAATTTTGACCATGACCATAACTTTCTCCTTGAAAGAGATATTCACTATATGGATGTTGATGAATATGTGACAGTACAAAATTAGTTGAAAGCTCTAGAAGAACCAATTATACTACTTTGGAGAAATAAAATTGATTATCAATAAGACGTTGTGTTGTAGTAAGTCTCAAAGAAACTTATTGAGTTTCTAAAGTATTCGCGAAAGAGATTGGTTATATTAAGACTATAAATAAAGGAAAGATTTAATATCTTATATTACTACAACTTGTAGCCGGGTGATATGTATGTGAAAAGCTACCCGCTTTATTCTCCAGTTTGTACTACACAAACGAAAGAACGCCACAATAAAGTAAAAGTTTATTGATATAAAAACTCATATCATAATAAACTTAGAGTTTATTCATAATTGCACATGTTATGGCGTAAACCTAAAGTTTATCAATATTGATAATTTCTCAAATTGGCATAATTGGTTTAGCCATTAATTTAAGTATGATGTGTAAAATAAAAGAGAATTCACATGGGTCAATATTAAAGAACTAGAAACTTCTTTACGAATTCTCTTATGTTGTTTGTTCTCATTAATTAATAGATCAATTAAAATTGGGATTGAATCTCATGATTACTGAAAGTATCAAAGGTGAATATGGGCTCATTTACCTGCCATGTATACCACATAAGATGCATCTATGAGATGGTTACATATGCGATTATTATTAACCTGCAACCTGGTGTTTGCAAGGTAATTGCTGAATAATTTAATCTAGAGCATAATTTCCAGATTTTCTATTCAAAAAAGTTTATCTTGATAAGTTGGTTTACATCACAGTTGGTTTAGCAAAATAATTATTGAGTGCCTCCACTTAATAGCTAAAGTATTACTTATGAGAACAAAGTTATGTATATCAGTTTGATATATGTTATATACGAAAGTATATCACATTCTCTCCTCATAAGTGGTTCGAGGCCAGGAACCAAATAATTTCATCTTATTATTATTGATGTGCAGTGAATATTTTAATTAACACCATAACGCACAAATGTGAGTTTCCAAACTTGAGGAAGCAAGTTAGTTTTTCTAACATGAGGGGGAGACAAGAGAAACAGTTGAGAAAAGGTTACGTGGAATGAATCATCATTTGTACATCTAGATCCTCGAATAAGATAATATGAACTTGAAGTTCATAAAGATAATTCAGTTGCAATATATTGCAAAGCATGCCAGAGGCATTTGCTGACCCAAAGAAAGTAACTATATTCTCATTGCAAATGCTCATATTAAGTCCTAGAAGGACAAAGTCTATGGTACGCTTAAAGCATATAGACAAATCGGTTTCAAATAAACTTCTAGATAAATAAGATGAGCAAATGATCAAAATGATCATAATAAAGGAGGCAAGTGATCAAGAAGATCACATGACATAACACTTCATAAAATCTCATGAGAGATTCAGGTACCTGAATATATGAATGAAGAGATCTCTATGTTATGTCTTTATGAAAAATAAGGAGGTTGGAACCGATATAAAGTGTTTGTCGATGACATCTATAACAATGTTAAATATATATGAGGATCTTAAGTCTGGAGAAACAATTCAAGTAGAATTTGGTTTCATATGAAAGATACGCAGTTTTGGACATATAGTTCAAACACTCGAAAGTATAAAGTCAATAGGTATGTGCAATCATTTTTATGTATTTTGTCGGCACATGATATGCATCTAAAGTCTATTTAAATGGCTTATTTGACTATACTTATATAATAATCCCTGAAGGATTTAAATTGCTTAAAGCATATACAATTCTTGATCTTGAAGTACCACATCCTCAGTGCAATTTGTGCACAAATGTATCTTGCTATAACTATAAGCATGATAATATGATAGCAAGAGTTTTCACCTCTATGTGAAGATATTGAAATGACGATTTTAACAAGATCATATGAAGACAATACATCTATTAGGGATGATGATTTCAAGGTGAAACAAATTCGTTCAAGTTAATATGGTTGATTTGTTTGTCGAATCTCTACCAACAATCTTTTGAAGATGGTGCACAAGATTGGAATGCAAAGGCTTAAAGATGTGAATTGATGCTCTTAACAGGGGGAGTTAATACGCGTTGTACTATTTTTCCTTTACAAGGTTTTGTCCCATTGTATTTTCCTTGCAAGGTTTTTAACGAGGCAACTAAAAGGCGTATTGTTAGATATGTGTACTCTTTTTCCTTCACTAGAATTTTTTTCCACTGGATTTTATTTTAGTTAAGGTTTTAACGAGGCACATTGTCTGTTTGATAGACATTCAAGGGGGAGTGTTATAAATAATATTTTATTTATTGTGAATGTCTATATTTTAGAGAGATTTTAGGGTTTGTTACTTGGTGGTTAAGTCACGTTTTCCCTATAAATAGAGGGGTTCTATTCCAATGTAATTGACTCCAAATCAATAAGAATTCTCTCTCCCTACTTTTCTCTGCAATACTCTTCTTCTTATTTTATTATACTTCATAACATGTTTAGACTTTTTGGTTAACAAGTATAATTCCAATTCCTTAAAACGTGAGATGATGTAGCGTTTTAAGGGATTTATTAAGTTGGGGTGAGAGATAATTTAGCTTCTTAAAATGTGGAATTTATTTAATGGTATATAATAATAAAAAAAGTTTACAAAGTAATAAACTTTTATAAAGTAGGTATACAAGGTAAAATAAATATTTCAAAGGTATATTGAGTTAACTAGCATTTTTAATGGGATACCATGTCGATTACTCTAAATAAACTCTCTAATTCTATTCGTCCATTACAAGACACAATTACTATTATATATGAATAGAACGATCTTTTACCAACTACTCGAGAAATTATTTTTTCAGAATTGGGATCCTAAGGTCATATTCATATTAGAGTTGCATAAATTTGACCACATATAATCGGATATGGATCATAATAAAATATACTAGAAGAATAACTGCCATGCATCTATACTTGATTAAAAATCGAAATTAGTTCACACTTAATTATCAAACCCCAACATGATGCATTTACAACTAAATTCCTCGTGCTAGACAACACGATACTATGAAATAACCTCTTAAAAAGAGAAGTAAAACCTAAAATTAAACCACCCAAGTTTTTATTATAAGAACTTCTTTTGAACAGGAAGAGAAGTCAAAATAATATAATCCCCATGAAAGAGTCCGAGAGATATAAAGAAGAAAGATTAAACCTTGAGACGTAATTCCTCTTTCGAGGGAGTAATCTTGTATGTCTATACTCGGGTGTTCAAACCGAACCGAAAACACACCAAATCGAAAAACCAAACCAAGCCGATTAAAAATCCGATTAAGTTTGGTTTGACTAAAGTAAAATAACCCGAACCAAACCAACATATAAATATATAAATTTTACTTATATTTTTAAGACTTTATAGTGAATTTTCTTTAGAAAATGTAGAAATATTTGGGATCCTCTCATGTATTATCTTTGAAAGTATAAATTAACGAAAAATTATTATTAGACGACTAAGAAAATAACTATCATGTGTTACTAAAAAAATTCTCCCATTAGAATATTTTAATAGATCATATGTTTGTCAATTTTTTCCATATTTACTAAACATATATTCACTTATCAAAGCTTTATCTATAATTTTAATAAAGTAAGATTGAAATAATATTCATGTAACAAAAAAACCCGAAAATCAGAAAAACCCGACAAAACCGAACCAATCCAAACCAATATAATTGGTTTGGTTTGATTTGATAAAAACCGAACCAATCCGGTCCATGTACACCCCTACTCTATACTATTTTTCAACGTTACCAAAAAAATTTAATATGATCTTTGAACATTTATTTTTTCTGTCACTGACTCTCTAGACGTAGAGCACTTGACAGATTAATATTCATTCACTTGCTTTCGATAAAAATTATACAATCCGTATTTTGGTTAGGAAATTAGTTAGTCCTCGCGATAATATATAAGTTCAATAATTTTCATTTGTAATATAATAATTTAATTTAGACATTCAAAGTAATCTGATGTAATAGGCATAATCAGCATAATCTGATCTGGGTCAACGCATAACCGTCTTTTCTGTAATAAGCTACGTACCCGCTCTAAAAAAAAATATCATATTTAGCTACTAGTTTTTTAAACAATGTTATGCTTGATAAGTACAAAGTACAATTACAGTAGGATATTTATAATACAAACAAGCACAAGAATAGGACTGATCTATCTTAAAATAAATACAAAAGGTATATACTAAATAAATATATTATCACCCCCCCCCCCACGTGGGTAGAAAGGACACAGAACTTGTCACGTAGAAGCATCAACCTTGGAGATGGGAGAGGCTTGGTTAACAAATCAGCAAGTTGATCAGCAGTATTGACGTATTGAACTGCCGAGGTAGAACGGCGGGTGGAAGGACAACCAGCCCAGTCTGCATCACTGTAACATATAAGATGATCAATAGAACCACCACGAATGAACAATCCATGAGATAGCGAGCCATTCAAATAACGCAATATGCATTTCACAGCTGTGTAGTGAACTTCTAAAGGAGAGTGCATAAACTGAGACACTTGATTGACTGCAAATGGAATATTTGGACGAGTGAAAGTAAGATATTGAAGTCCTCCAACAAGACTCCTATAAAGAGTGGGATTAGAAAAAGGAGGAGAGTCAGATGTATGTAGTGATTCTTTTGAAGAAAAAGGTATAGAGACAGGTTTTGAGAACAAAAGATTTGCACGACTAAGAAGATCTTGAATATATTTGGACTGACACAGAAAATAACCATCATCACAAGCCGTGATCGAAACACCAAGAAAATAATTAATAAGCCCTAAGTCATTCATAGCAAATTCAGACTTAAGAGTGGTGGATTAGAGAATGAAGTAAAGAAGTAGATGAAGCAATAAGAAGAATGTCATTGACATATAGAAGCAAAATAGCAATTTCCTTTTTAGACTTATAAACAAAAAGAGAACAGTCAGGCATAATATTTCTAAAACCAATTTGGAGCAAGAATGTGGTAAAACGATGGAACCATGCCCTAGGGGCTTGTTTTAAGCCATAAAGGGCTTTGTTCAACCGACAAACATGATTAGGAAAGTTTGGGTGAACAAAACCAATAGGTTGTTTCATGTATACCAGTTCATTAAGAGTGCCATGCAAGAAGGCATTCTTAACATTCAGTTGATGAATTAGCCACCCTTTAGAGGCAGCTAAAGCAAGAACAGTATGAATAGTGACTGGTTTCACCACAGGACTAAATGTTTGATCATAATCTAGCCCATGTTATTGATTGTACCCGTGCGCTACCAAGCGGGCTTTAAATCGTTCAATTGAACCATCTGAACGTTGTTTTACTCTGTATACCCAACGACAACCAATAACATTAGCATTCGGAGGAGGCAACACTAACTGCCACGTATTGTTGGTCATGAGGGCATTATATTCTTCAACCATGGCTTTTCTCTAGTTAAGATCCTTATTAGCTTCCTTGAATGAAGTAGGCTCGATACGAATGAATGGGATGTCTTTCTTAGAAGTTTCCTGGGATAGAAAAGAAAGAAGAACCCTAGGCTTAAGGTTTACTGTTTGAGAACGAGTAACCATATGATGAATTTTTGGAAGAGTAGGAATTGTGTGAGGAGAGTGACGTAATATCAGAGGAGATAATGGAGGGGTACGTATGGTGAGGGAAGTAGAATGATATGGAACATCAACGTTTGAAAAGGGATAAGGACCAACATGTGTATTAGTAGTTGCACGAGTAGAAGAATGTAAGAAAGGAGAAGATGTAGTTCGAACATTAGAGGGATAAGGACTTACAAGTCTACTGTGTATATGAGAAGTAGTAGACTGTATATTTTGAAATTCATAAGGAATAGTACGTAAGAATGAATTATATCTAATTGGAGACAAATATGAAGAAGTCAAAGCTGATGAGGAATCAACATTGAAAGGTGGATAAAATTGTGAACACTAGGAGAAGTCCTAGAATCCAGTGGCGGTGAAACTTGAGAAATATTCTTACGCAAATTAGTTGGAGATAAATTAGGAATCAGATTAGAAGGTGGAGAAATATTCTTAAGAAAATTAGTAGGAGATACATTAGGAATCTGATTAGAAGTAGGAGAAATATTGTCAAGAAGATTAGTTGCAGTTAAACTAGGAGTTTGATTAGAAGTTGGAGTATTTTATGAGATAAAGGGAGAGTCCTGGGGGGTGAAGAGATCGAATGAGATACAGTAGGTAGCAGAGGTTGGAAGGTAAACTCTGTTGGAGATTTGAATGAAATATTTGAAACACAAGAAGAAGAAGTTGGTTGTAAAAGAGTAAGATACGGAAAGGATTCCTCGTCAAATCGAACATGTCGAGAAATATAAAATTTATTTGTTAATGGATCAAGACACCAAAATCCTTTATAATTTAACGGATAACCAAGAAAACACAATGTTTAGAACGAGGACTTAACTTGTTACAAGAGTAATCACTAAGATTCAGATTAACATGAGCATCCAAATATACGTAAATGGTCATAGGTAGCAGGCTTGCCACAGAGAACTTCAAATGGAGTTTTAAATTGAAGTTTAGAAGAGGGAAGTATATTCAAGAGATGAACAGTAGTTTGAAGAGCTTCAACCCAAAATTTAGGAGGAAGAGAGGCCTGAAATAGAAGGGTACGGATCATATTTGCAATAGCGCGATGCATCCGTTCAGCCTTACCATTTTGCTGATGCGTATATGGACATGAGATACGCAATGATATTCCATTTTCGTCAAGAAAAATACGAAACAAAGAAAGTTTAACATATTCAGTACCGCCATCACATTGCAAAGTTTTTTTTTGTGAAAAATTGAGTTAAGACATAAGAATAAAATGATTTAAATTTTAAAAAAGCTTCTGATTTACGTTTTAAAGGAAACACCCATAAAATTTTTGAATAATCATCAAGAAAGAGAATATAATAACGGAAGCATGTAAAAGATGCTATGGGAGATGTCCATATATCACTATGTATCAATTCAAATGGAGAAGTCGTGAATAATTGAGATTTCACAAAAGGTAATTTATTGTGCTTGCCAAGCTGGCAAGCATTACATAAGAAATCTAATTGTTTGAAAGAACTACAAGAAACTTTATTTTCTCTAACTAATTTAGCAAAAATGGCAAAGCTTGGATGGCCTAATCGTTGATGCCAAAGATTTGGAGAACGTCGCACTGCTGCAAAAGCTCGATGAACCGCACCATAAGACAAGGAAGACAATGAATAAAGACGGTCTTGGCTATTGCACCGTAGAAGAATTTCTTGGTCTTGAGATCCTTAATAAAGAAACCAAAAGCATCAAATTCAATGGTGCAATTATTATCAGTAGTAAATGTGAGCACGTGATTTTTGTTTACACGACAATTACTCCAAAAGAGATCGAGAAATAAAAAAAAATTGTTTTGTTGTACAAGTTTTAGAATTTGCGTGGCATTTTTTGGTAGTTATTTGTAGTTCTTGTCTGTGATTGTTTAAGTTTTACCAATTAAAAATACAAAAAATATATATCGCGTGTAAATCTAGGATCTTGTTCTACTATTAGGAATCAATTAAATCGTATTTGGTTTTGAATAAATAAAAATCACAAAAAATATTATCTTTGGTAATTTTGTCATTCTATCGTTTAAAGGTTGATTTTTGTTTAATTAATATATGATATTGTGTGTTAATTATTACTAAAGAATCAATTAATGTCTTGTGATATAATTTTAATTTTATATTTTTATATTTTTTATTTTTAGGATTTTTTGTAAATTCGGATTTTAATTAGAAATAGAAAAAGAAAAGAAATGAGTTTGAAATTGGAATTAGGCCGTTCAAATTGGTCCCAAATCAGGCCCAAAGCATTGTCTTGCCCGGTCCAGATCAGCTGACCTTAGGGATGTCCAGACGACGTCGTTTTGATCATGCTTGATCTGGGCCGTTGATCTCAGATTGATCAACGGCCAAGATCACATCTCCATTACCTACGCTTTAACCCGACCCGTCTCACCCAGAGACCCACCGGTCTCACTTAATCCATACGGCATCGTTTCCATTAGTTGATCGATCCAGGCCATTGATTTTGAATGATCTAACGGCCTAGATCAAATTTCCCCCTTACTATATAACCCCAATCCCTTACCCCCACACCCCCCTAAGCCAGACCCCTTCACCCATCATCGTCTCTTTCCCAAACACCCTCAAGAACCCTAGCGTCGCCCCTCCATTCCCTCACCATAAACCCAACGGCAACGATGCCGGTGACCACCAGATTAACACCCCTAGTGCACCTCGACCCCCTGGACACGGATCTACAAACCGTTGGTCTCAAACTTTCCCCCATCGTCTCGAATCTTCATTTGAAGATTCGAGCTAAACCTCAACCTATGCCAAACCACCCTAAATTCGTATCAGTTACTCCCCTGACCCCCTCGTGACCAAACCAAGCTTGGTTTGGTTCGAATCTAACCAGAAAAGCTCGCACCCCAAATTTGAGCCCCGAGAACCCTAGAAATCCAAAACCTGGGGTTTTGTCCAGTTAAGTGAAGGGTTGAGGTTTAATATACCTTAATCGAGGTGTTCTCAGTTGAGAACACTTCGATTAAGGTCCATTCGACCTCAAAAGAGGTCAAGTCCAGTTCAGGCCTGGTTCATTTTAGTCTTGATCTTCCGAGATAAGTTTCTTTCCCTTCTGCTTTTATTTGTATTTGTATTTGCTTGTATGATTAGTTAGTTTGTTTGATTTTTTATGTTATCTTCTTTCGATTCTGTCCGTCTTCATACAGACCCTTTATGTAGTCATTTTTCTTCTGAATACTTGTTACTTGTACTTACAGTGAATTATATGTCCAAGCTGTTTTGAATCATAGGATAGTTAAGGTCGTGTTTGAAATCCCATGTTGCATCTGAAGTCACTGAAAGCCATCTGATGACCTGTTTGATATATTTTATTGGTTGTTAGCTATTTGTTGTAGCTCATATGGTCAATTAAGTAAGTGTCGTCAACTAAACTCACTTGAAAAACTAGAAAAACATGAGGCTGCCCTTTCCAGTAGGACTTGTAGCATGACTCCTATTCTTTGTGTTAAGGACTCGTATCAATGAGTTGGTTTCAGTATATTTGTGATCCTTGTTTACCTTCTCAGCTGCCTGTCTGATCCTTGGGCTTTGATTTGGTCAGGATTGGTTCCCAATATGACCTACTCATACCATTAGAGTAACCTCCCTGTTTGACTGAGTGTGAATTAATAAATGAAGGAATTGGTTGTAGCTGTAGAACTGTAAGCTAACCTGAAACCAGTCTTAGGAGTTAAGTCTATATAGACTATAACCTCAAACTTCTAAGCTTAAGGGTAATACAATAAATCACAGGAGTTTCAAGGGTATTCTGGGGTTTTAAAGGTTCTGAATTGCTTAAAGGAAAGTGAGCTAACAGTAAGGTACTAAAATATTAATTAAACTAATGAAATTAATTGACCAATAGTGGGATTGATGACATGTTAAGCACCTTTAGCAGCTGAAAATAAGTAACAACATGGGCTTGATGATAAAAAGCTGAAAATGCACATGAGAATAATAGTGGAACCTGCTGTACAATAGGATATCCACTGCATTTTTGAATTTCAGCAGATTAAAGTAGAAGAAAACCCCATGCCTAGACAATCCTAAGTGGAGATGACAGCCTTTGGGGTTTATTTTTAAGCCCTGGGCAGCCTGTCTTTGAAGGGAGGTTCTTCTCTTCTATAGGGATATAAAAAGAGACCAAGAGTTTAAAACAAAGGGGGAAAAGAAAGAAAAAAGGATAATCAGGGAAACAGAAGGGGGGACTGGAAAAGAAACCAGAAAACAGATAGAGAGAGAGAACTAAGAGGAGGGTGGACAGATTTTTCAAAGCTTAAAAGTTGTGAGCTGCATCTATCAGGCCTTCTTTGGAATGGTTTGGAACATCAGTTAAACTGTTGTTATCTCGTACCTGTCACCCTTCTGTTTTGGCTGTGAATTGCAGCTTGGTGTTGCTGGGTTTTCATTTGTTTGCTTTTGAGTCTACTGGGTTTATTTGCTACTGCTTCCATTGGTTGTAGCTGAACTCTTTCACTGGGACTTATCCTGCTTATTTTACTGCTGAAACTGCTGTTTTTGGTGTTCGTTGTTTGCTGTTTATCACTGCTGCTGCGTTGATCACTCCTTTTTTCCTTCTGTGTCTAATATCCAGGTACACACTAGAATTCCACACTGATGTAACAATAGAGTTTGAGCATGAAATAAAAGATACGAAGGACTTTAATCGTTTGGTGTTGTCTTTGTAGTTTTATAAATGTTAGTAGATTTGTGCAGTTTTTTTTGGTTTATAACTCAATTAAAAATGCATTAGGCAGTTTGTATTTAATTAAAACTTAGTTGTTTAATATTGGACCTATAGCTGTTTAATGGTTTGTATGATATAGCTATGTAATTTGTGGAATGCACAAGTAGTTAGTGTATCGATAGCCAAATTTCATCTCTAGTCATATTTTACACACATAAGGCACTGTTTCTAATTTTGCCAAATGTAATATAGTTCTTAAATCATTTGAGCCAACTCTATCAAAATCGGATTCCATTAGGCAGTTTATAGGACAATGTTTGAATCCCATTAATAACATCCTCTAGTAATTAATTCCATTAATCTCATTAAAAACGAGTTAGTTTAAGTTCGACTTGGAGAACGTTTAGCGTAAGTTTAACATTTTATCAATCTCGTATGCATATTTTTAAAAGGCACGTTCGCTCCTGGAATAAGGTACGAAATAATTCCCCGTACAAATTCAAGTGCAATTTTCCATTAACATCTCTTGTAATCTAATAATTAATAAGAGGCCGGAGCTGGCCAAGCATGTAATTTAATTAGCGTATATTTTCTTCTTTCATTTTTAGAGACAAACATAATAGAAAAAATGTAGTCACTGTAGGTTTATCCTTTCAAAAAATGAGACGAGCCTCGCCAAATACAAATGCAAATTGTGGGGCCCTCGATAATTGGTCGTAATAAATATTTAGATTTCTCGGGATGGACTGTTTAGTGAACTTCATTGCCCTCCCCAAAGATAATAACGCGTTAGACTCTTTAGGCGCGATTTAATTAAATTACCTTCTTAAATTCGGGTGCGCATTCATGTGACCCAAATCCAAATCTCAACGGAGTTGGAATGTATTAACAACCACGGGCGCATTGATTGTGACGTGATTCGAAATGCATTTTCACGACGTTGCAATTCCATAATAAATAAATAAATAATAATAATAATAATAATAAAGCGGTTTAAACCTAATAAAAGCACACAAGCTATAACATGTATTAAAATCAGATATTTGGCCATTATAACAATTTAAGCAACCGTGCCAGAACCACGGGATTCGGGGGTGCCTAAAACCTTCCCTCGGGTCAACAGAATTCCTTATTTAGAATTTCTGGTTCGCAGACTTCATTGGAAAAGTCGAAAATTTCCTCGATTTGGGATTCAAGATAAACCGGTGACTTGGGAAACCAAAAGCCAAACCTTTCCCAAGTGGCGACTCTGAATTAAATAAATAATCTCATTTCAAATATTGTCACTTAAATTAGAAAAACTCCCTCACGCATTTATCCTTCGGGGTAGGCGCGCAAAAAGGAGGTGTGACAGTAAATTTACGAACACTCAGCAAATTACTTGGGAGATTAGGAATAATAAGAATATTTTTAAGAGAAAAAAGGATAGAAGAAGTAAATATAGTACCATGACCAGTGTACGAAATGGGAAGTTGAGTACCATTGCCTACAACAACTCGATCACTTCCATTGTAAGGGAGAACCGAGGATACATTATCAGGATTTGGGGTCATATGAGAGGAGGCCCCAGTATCAATATACCAATGTGCATCGCTGAGCATGGCATAAGAATGAGTTGGAGATGATTGAAGATCAAAGATAAATGCTTTAGGACCAAGAGATGGACATTCACGAGCTGAATGATTATATTGAAAACAAAGTTGACAATGGACAGTAGCATGCATGTGGGAAGAGGGAAAAGAAGAATAAGGAGCAGGCCCGAGAATGGATGGAGATCGAGGGCGAGGAGAGAGATTTGGAGAAGGGGTAGAAAAATTCTTATAAAACCCAGGATTGTTACGACCCCTGCCACGACCACCATTTGAGTTCCGACCCCCATTGTTGTTCCTACCACGACCACGACCACAACCATGAGGAGTAGAACGTTGCTTCGCAACAAAAGTATTAGCAGATTAGTCAGGATTAGTGGCAGAGAAATTAGACAATTGAGCCTCATGCAAAAAGAGCAGAGAACGCGTCTCTGTAAAAGATGGGAGTGAGATTCTAGTAGAAATGGAAGTACTAACTGGCATGTAATTAGAAGGAAGGCCAGACAAAATTTGAAGAATAAGATCCGTTTCTGAAATCAGGTTACCAATGGAGTTCAGAGAATCTGCAATTGTTTTAAGCCGATGCACATAGTCATTGATTGAAAGATCACCTTTCTTAAGGTTATGAAATTGAACCTTGAGTTGAAGAGTTCGAGAACTAACTTGGTCACGGAATAGACGCTCAATTTCAAGCCAAGCTTCTCTAGAAGTTAGAGAATGATTGGGACGAAGAATAGCTTGAAGGATTTCTTGAGAAATGGTTGCTTGAATCCAGGACAAGACAATGGAATCAAGTTGAACCCATTGTTGGAAAGCAGGATTGAGAATGGAGTTACCATCTTCTGTAATAATGGTAGAGGGTGGACAAGGAAAACTTCCATCAATGAAGCCATAAACACCATGACCCTTGAAAACCGGCAAAAAGAGTTCCCGCCATAACATGTAATTAGTGTAGTCTAGTACAGTAGGAATTAAGTTTTTGATGTTAGACAAAGAAATAGCAGTGTTGGATGAGGGAGACAGAGAAGATTGATCAAGTTTGATTGGAGATAAAGTTGTTTTGATTGGAGATGAAGTTGTGAAAATTGAGGAAGAAGAAGAAGCCATCGAGAAGAAAGAGACCTAAGCTCCTGATACCATGAAATAATGTTATGCTTGATAAGTACAAAGTACAATTACAGTAGGATTTTTGTAATACAAACAAGCACAAGAATATGACTGATCTATCTTAAGATAAATACAAAAGATATACACTAAATAAATATATTATTAGTTTTAAGTAAAATAATCTTATTGTTCTAGAAATCTTTACCCGATCTCGGAGAGAAAAAAACAAATACAAATACAAACATGTGTTGAGAAAATATTTTTAAAATTCATATTCACTCCGTTCACTTTTACTTGTACGTTTTTCAAAAGTTAAAATTAACTAATTTTGAAGCTAAATTTTATTATATTCTTTTTAATAATTTAAAATTAAAATTTAGATATTCGAAAATTATATGAAAAGTATTACAGTATAATATTTTTTTCATATCAATATGGTAAAAATATATATATATTAAAATATTGATCAAAATTTATATAATTTGACTTTTGTAAAAAATATGACAAGTAAAAGTGAATATAATAGGTTCAGGTTGACGATGCTAACGGCGTTTCAAGAAAAGTTAAATGCTGATGAAACGGCGTTTCAAGAAAAGTTAAATGCTGATGAATCCTGACAATGTGAAAGTCTCTAGATAGTAACGAAACAAATTTAAGTTTCAAGCGCAACAAATATGTAATCTGTACTTACTTCGATCCGTTTTAATTGATTTTTGGCTTTATTTTTGTGATTTATAATATTTGATTTTTTCAAATATTGAGAAAGATTTTTTTTATTTTTTTAAAGTTGTCATTGAGGTAAAGAGTTTAAGAGTAACAAATTAAAGTTAATATGGTCAATTTCTTTGTTAATTAATGCTAAAATATATATTCTTTAATATGTACTAAAACGGCCAAAAAAATCAATTAAAATGGACCGGAGGGAATAAAGTAGTAGGTAAGTTGGTAATTAAACATGGCTTTGGCTTTTCAAATTCTATATAAACTTGTCCCCCGTTCCTTATTTATTCAGCTCATTGGGTTCCTCAAAAGCTTCATTCTTAAATCTTAATTAAATCCCTCTATCATAACTATTCCGACCACAAAAGTAAGCATTATGCCATCAGAATCCGGCAAAGTTGTTTGCGTTACCGGCGCCGGAGGTTTCATTGCCTCTTGGCTTGTTAAACTCCTTCTAGAAAAAGGCTACACTGTTAGAGGCACCGTTAGAAACCCTGGTATATATAATAATTTTGAATTCTTTAATCCTTTTATAAATTCAGTTTAAAGGATACATTTCCCCAGTTGCTTTAATTTTTTTTTATTTTTTTTGTCTGGGTATTTGCATGTGTATTTTATACAGATGATGCCAAAAATAGTCACTTAAGGGAACTTGAAGGTGCAAAGGAAAGACTGACTCTGTGTAGAGCTGATCTTTTGGACTACCAGAGTTTGAGAGAAGCAATCTATGGGTGTGACGGAGTTTTCCACACTGCTTCACCTGTCACTGATGATCCAGTAAGCATTCATTTTATGCAACATATATATAAACACCAGAAGAAGAAATTAGTTTATTATTCGGAAATAATGACATATTATAGTTCGGCACTCCTTCTAGAAAAAGGCTACACTGTTTGGCACTAATATTTTGTTAATATATTCCAAATAGAATGATATATTATAGTTCGATATTTTTTTAATAATTTTTTTATAGCTATATAAATGTTATGATATATTTTAGACAATAAATTTTAAAATTTCTACAGTTTATTATCATCAATTTTAAAATTCTTTATTTTTTTATTAAATTTTGTGCTTAAGTCAAACTATATGAGAATAGTTATTGTAGAATCGTCTCTTAGTTTGTTTATAGTCAATCAAATTCAGTGGGATAGGATTCTTCATTTCCTTATGGTGGTTGATTGAGATTTATCCAGAAAACATGGAGAGACTGTATATATATTAAAAAAAAAAAGAATCAGTTATGTAAGTGGTGGGTCCACGCCTATAACCCTAATTCATCTTTGGCGTTGCCTAACATGTCGAAGGTGCTTTAGCTTTTAGTTCCACACTTCCACTAATATGTCCATACAAAGTCGAAATATATTACCGTCTCTTTCAATTTACGTGAACATGTTTGATTGGGCACGGTGTTTAAGGAAAAGTAATGACTTTTTGAATTTGTGGTCCTAAACAAGTCAAAAAGGTCTCAGAGTATTTGTGGTCCTAAAATTGTAAGTTTAAGTTAAATTATTACCAAATTTAGAAAGGGTCATTTTTTTTGGAACGGACCAAAAAAAATAGATTCACTGAAACAGAGGGAGTAGTGTTCTTTTACTCGATTGAGGATAACGGTTTTATTTTCTTTATTTTGGTTGATAAAGGAACAAATGGTGGAGCCAGCAGTAATTGGGACAAAGAATGTAGTAACAGCAGCAGCAGAAGCCAAAGTGCAAAGGGTAGTGTTTACTTCGTCAATAGGGACGGTGTACATGGACCCCAACCGGGCTCCAGATAAAGTTGTGGACGAAACTTGCTGGAGTGATCTTGACTTCTGCAAGAATACTAAGGTCTGTCATTTGTCAAATAATTGATTAATGAGCATGTCTTTTAGCTAATTCAAAACAATGATATAACTGAAAAAGACCTCAAAAACATGCATGTTTTGGTATAAAATTGGAAATTGGAATCACTCACCACCACTCAAGTACAAGGGAACAACTATGAGTTTGAATTTGTATTTATTCGTAACCATAGAAATTGGTAGGTTGTCTACGTCATAGTCATTCGATGTAATCTTTACCAAGACCCTGCATGAACGCGGGATACCATTGTGCACCGGACTGTCCTTTTTCATAGAATTTGATAGTTGACAGTGCCAATTCATACAACGAATCTCAATTTGCTTGGTATTGAGGCGTAAGTATTGTTATGACTTTGCAGAATTGGTATTGCTATGGGAAGACGATAGCGGAACAAACAGCGTGGGAAATGTCTAAGGAAAAAGGAGTGGATTTAGTTGTGATCAATCCAGTGTTGGTGCTTGGACCATTGCTCCAACCAACAGTGAATGCCAGTGTTCTTCACATCCTCAAGTACCTCACTGGCTCTGCTAAAACTTATGCCAATTCAGTCCAGGCGTATGTGCATGTTAAGGATGTTGCTCTTGCCCACATACTTATCTACGAAACTCCTTCTGCATCTGGCCGCTATATCTGTGCTGAGAGTGTGCTTCATCGCGGCGATGTGGTCGAAATTCTTGCCAAATTCTTCCCGGAGTATCCAATCCCCACCAAGTAATTTCACTTCCCAAATCTATATATGGAGTAGCAAGTTTTAATTTAATTACCTTTATTTGAACTAACCTTAGTGTGCCTAAACAATTATGCTTTATTTTACTTTTTAAAATTCCATATTCTGAAAGTTGTTTAGAAGTAGTTGAATTTTCCTCGTTAAAAGTTAATACATTAATATTCTTGGAAAGAGCAGGAGGAGACCTGTTGGCACGTTCTCAAACATTCCTACCAGTTTTAAATTCTCAAGAGTTAATTCATATGAAAACTTTGGTACCAGCTAATAATGCGCTTCAAAATGCATGTACTCCATATCTAGAACCTTTATGCCTAAAAAGGGTACTTTGTTCTGGTTGAAATGATGATGTGTCAGTAGTTATACCAAACTGATAATTTATAAAAGGCAAAATACGTAATTTATCCATCCACCTTGTATTCAAATCTCTTGCACTCAAATCCTTGTTACACACTTGTTGACCACGTATTTAATTTTACACACCAAACCTTTCAAATGTGTGTCAATTATACACTACTTTTGACCAGCCTAGTTAATAGTCAATGCTGTGTATACACGCGTATCTCTGAATTAAAAAGTACCCTTTTAATCTACTGACACCTTTACAGAACCAACCCAATCAAATAAAAGACACCCAACAATCAGTGCACCACCTTCTCCACCACTGCACCGCCTTTTCCACCATTGCAACCCCTTCTTCTTTGTACCACAAAATTACTAGCTGCAACACCCAAATAGATATACACAAACATCATACCTAAAAAACTTCACCCGTCGAAATTTCGTCGGAAACTCCATCTTCGACCCTCCTTTTTCTTTCTGTCATTATTTTTTCCTTTCACAAAGCTAGAATGATGAGCCAAAAGAAAATAACGAAAAGGGAAATTTTAGATCTTCTGTTGGCAAAATTAAAAGAATCACAAAGGCTACTTTGTCAACAAAATTCCAAAATAAGAAACTGAAAACTTAAATTCAAACAAAATGGTTGAAT